AGCACCTGCAGAAAGACAACTTCATCATTGTATAATTCAGGTCATTTGTTCGTCTTTGTAGTGTTTGGTCATGGAGATAGTTCTGTCTAACACGAAGGTAAAGTTTCACTCCAGAGGCACACGGAGTGTACGTTAGAGAGCCTTAATGAGCTAAGCTAACGGAGCGCACGTTGGTTGCCACAACAGCTACAAAAGCTCAAGTCATTAGCATGTCTTGTTTTAGCCTGAAGCTAAACAGAGATGGGTGTTTGCCTTTTAAGTAAATTTGTGTTTTGGCACCGTCAAAGTAAAGAGGAGCCTACATACTACAACTGCTACTACAAATATAGTTTTAAAACTTTCATTTCTCCTACAGCTCCTCCCGTAGTAATTCCAGTGTTTTTGTAACATGAAACATCTACAGTCTGCTGACTACATTAATGTCTTTTTGCAGCCTTACTGCTCAGAAAATTCTGTTTTTACACAACATGTGGAGCTGGTGTTTGATGAATAATTATTTATTTGAAATCATTTTCTTTCCGGTCCCAGCTCCTGGTCGGCCGGTTGATTGGGAAGCAGGGGAGGTTTGTGAGCTACATCAAGCAGAACTCTGGTGCAAAGATCTACATCTCCACGCTGCCCTACACACAGGACTTCCAGATCTGTCACATAGAGGGTGAGCTCCATCGGCCGGAATTGTAGTTTAGAATTTAATGAAGTGGAACGAGGAAGACATTTTGGTTTTTTTAACATGCATTTAAACTCTTGTCTATGATTTTTTTTTTTTTCCCCAGGTGCTCAGCAGCAGGTGGACAAAGCTTTGTCGCTGATCAGCAAGAGGTTTAAAGATCTGGACTTGACAAACCTTTATGCACCTCCACTCACACTACCATCACTTCCAATGACCTCCTGGGTAAGAATGTGTCTGTAGCTGATGTGAATGAACTTGCCATTTACTAACAACAACACTGTTGGCCACGTCCTTACCTTACACCAGGCCATGATGATGTAACGCAGCGTCATCAATTTTTGTAACAGAAATCACATGACGGCAAACACTGCACTACATTTCAGAGTGTGTTCTGTTGTTTCTGTGGGGAAGGTTTAAGCTAAACCTACATAATGTTCATTGGAAACCATAGTAGCTGTGCTTCACCTGAACTAGGTGACATCTGTAATAGGATGGACCTATCAGTGATGTTGGGTTGTACTGCGGTAAAATCCATGACGTGGAGACACAGGACCTTCTCATTTACTGTAGTACTTACAGCTGGTATTGTCATCTGTCCCCTCAGCTCCTCCTCCCCACTGGAGTGACAATCGAAGTGACCGTGGTGAATATCGTGTCAGCCGGCCACGTCTTTGTCCAGCAGCACACCCACCCTACCTACCACGCCCTGCGGAGCCTTGACCAGCAGATGTCCCTCTGCTACTCCCAGCCCGGCACCCCCGCCCTACCCTCACCCGCTGAAGGCAAGTCGAGCCGCTCACTGTGTTTCTGCTGCTTCAGTCATTCTGTATATACTTCAGATAAAAAACAAATCTATTATTTTATTCATATGTTTTCATTTCAATACAGATAAACTCCAATTGTTGTGGACAGTTTTGATGAGCAAAAAATGTGTGCTTCTCTGTCCGTTTGTCTGCAGTGGGTGTCATCTGTGCAGCTCCTGCAGGAGAAGGAGCCTGGTGGAGAGCTCAGCTCATCACCTTCTACAAGGAGACCAATGAGGTGGAGATCAGATATGTGGACTACGGAGGCTACGACAGAGTAAAGATCGACTCACTCAGACAAATAAGGTGAGGATCTCCTTTTTAAAACATGAGCTGTGCTGTGACAATGACAGCAGAGTTCATGTTTTTTTTCTTATTGTAAATGGACAAACAATGTATGCTGTGATGCATCTGTATATGTAGAACTATTGTTTCTGAAGTTAGAGACTGAACCCCTGAATCTTCAGACATTAACTGAGGTTTTGCCTTCTTTTTTTTTCCCTTCAGGTCTGACTTTGTAACGCTTCCGTTCCAAGGTGCAGAAGTGCTGCTCGACAACATCGCTCCACTTTCAGGTACAACTTGAACAACATTTCTGCTGTTTGCCTGCAGCTTCCCACCTGTCCATTTGATAGATGGGCAAACCAGTAATGTGAAGTCTTCTGAGTAGGGATGTAATGATGCGCTTTAACTCATAAGAGTCACCATTTTCTTTAGAACAAAACAAGTTCAAGATAAATTGATGCCTTGATGAGTGATTCATTTTATTTATTTTTTCAGCCAAATTGTACTGCTTCATAACTACTTCTGAGTTGTAATTTTCTGTGCATCTCCTCTGAAAACAGGAGAGGATCGATTCTCACCAGAGGCGACATCAGCACTGGAGGAGATGACCAGACTGCCGCTGCTTGCACAGGTGAGATCACGGTCTGTTACTGAGACGCTGCAGAACTTGTACAGTGTTGTCATAAACCCATCTGCCTTTCTGTGTCCGTGAAGGTATCGAACTATGATAACAACACGGGCCTCCCACTGGTCCACCTGTGGAACATGGTCGGAGAAGAGGTATGACGTTCTGCCAAATTACTGTCCTACATACTGTATGTTGTCATTACCACCAAGGTGGTAGATGAGGTGGAAGGAACTTCCTGTTGAGATACTACAGTAGCTTGAGACAAATGGAAACAGGTGTTAAAGTTTAAAGGCAGATGTTTTGTTTTGTTTTTTTCCTCAAAATGTATTTACACTCATTGATGACATCAGGCTTATTTCTAACAATATTTAAACATCAGCCTTTAACAGCACTGTGTGTTTTATTTGACCATGCATGTCAACATGTCCGTCTTGTTTCAGGTGATTTCTGTAAACCGTACATTTGCAGAGAGAGGCCTGGTGCTCTGGGTGGATGGATTTTGAACTAACACGCTCTGACCTCTGCACCTTCTCCACACACACTTTTTCTGTGGTGGTCAACAGTGTGGAACCCTGACCTGTGCCCCCACCGCACCAACGGATTTAAGAAGATTGTCTTTATTTTTTTTGTTTTTGTTTTTTTGTCTTCTTTACCCTCCTTTTTACTTTTTGAAAAAGAAATTAAACGATTTGTTTGCAGGCATATTCTACAAGAGGCACTACTTGGAAATGAGACAACCCTCTCACCCACCCCTACACTGATACTTGTACAAAAAATGAACTTAAAGGAGGTACATAGAATTTTTTTTAAAGAAAATCTATATTATAACTAAATAAAGGTGAAGCAAACCCCCCCTCCCCCCCATTCTACTATACTTTGTCCTCTGGGCCTTTGCACTTTGGATGATGAGACTGTGTGGAGTGACAGGCGCCTCCATCAGTTTTACTGACACTCCTGCTAAAGTCACGCGTAGATCACCCTCTACTCAAGATGAATTGGCAGATTTTTTTTTTTATCTTCTGGAATAAGTTTGGAAGCAAGAAAGCGTTGGAGAAGGATGGTGAAACACCAAAGCAGGGGTCAGAGGTCAGTCTCTGGTAGGTCAGCACCCTGGCCTCCGGAGACATGGATTTCTCTGACGTCTGCGCCTCAGCTGCTGCTCTAACCAGCACAAACCAACTGGCTGGTGGCTTTAATATTCTCCAACAACGTTCCCTGCGTAACACAGAAGTGTAATACTGTCACACTGACCTCAGTCGAACTCTGGACCTTAAAACAGCCAGGGCGGTCACGTTTTCCTGTTTGTTTTTTTTTGGTTTTTTGTTTTTTTCATGAGGTGTATATGTTTTGTTTTTTTTTTGTTTTTTTGTGGTCACGTTTTCCTGTTTTGTTTTTTTTCATGAGGTGTATATGTTTTTTTGTTTTTCATTTAAGTACTGACAACTGTAAAAATCCACCAAGTTTCATTCAGTGCCCCTAACCTAACATTCAGTGTTGCGAAAATGCCCTAAATATGCACTCAGAGCAGTTTATTAGAAACAGGACCTCAGTGCATCTCAGAGCAGCAGCAGTTGTAGAGCAATATTTAAAAAATTGGTGGTCTAGGACATCATGGCGGTCAGTTAACAATCAGTGTTTCCTGTTTGAAAAAGTTCAACATTTTTAATTGTAAATGTGTTGGTGATGGATGTTGAACAAAATAAATTAAAAAAAATCTTTGGATTTGGTAGCAGCAATAAATCAATAACACCACTTTTTAAAAATAATGATGCCTAAACAACAAGAATTCTGGGCGCTTTTTAACATTTTACGAGAAACTTCAAAGATTAAGAACTTCGTTAAGCTGGCTGTGAACTGTGGCCATTTTAAAATTTTGCAGCATCTGGTTTATACCCTTGTATTTGTAAAACACACAGGTCCACCTATTGATTTGATTTTGGGTTTTTTTTTGTCAGTTACATTTTCTAGTTTTTCTATCAATAACAGAAGATTTAAGAGTTTCATTTTTAACACTGACCAACAGCTGACCGCTTCATTCCGATCACTTCACGTCATAAAATCTTGAAGACAAAAGACTCAAACATCTGGGAAAACAGATTTCCAGACAGGATCATGGCAGTTAAAAAGACGACTGTTTCTAATAAAAATGCCCCCCCGAGTGTATATTGGTGCATTCACCATATTCTGCTCTGAGGAGAAGAGACTAATAATGTTGATGATGCTGATGCTAGCGGTCAGTGGTGACGGCTGCTGGTTGTAAGAAGGGACTGATCTACTGCACTGTCCAGGTGGCACAGAAACCTACTGTGTTTAGTTTCATCCTAATCCAAAGAAATCCAGACTCTAAAGAGCTGGGCAGCAGCACTGATGCACTATACAAGTGATGGATGAACAGGATTGCACCGTCACACACTTGATGAGGGAATCTCCCACAGCTCTGCTGCTGAAAAATTACTTAAAAAAACAAAATGTGTTGACTGAACTGTACTATTGAGAAGATGCGTCTGAAATACTGACCCCTAAAACTACCACTACTATACATACTAATTTAAGTGGTGTGGCCAACAATACAGGAAATATTATTTAACTATGTTGGGATATGCATTTGGTGTTGAAAGAAAGGTTTCTGCTAAATACTTTTTTACATTTACACACCACAGTTTAAAAATGATGGATATGTGCTGTTAGTGATGACCAGTAGAGGGCAGCAGCGACAAAAAGTCCTCTGTGAAAGTGTTACAGTTTAAAAGAACTCTGCGACCATTCATCAACGCTTAGCTTTGATGTTGCTTCATTTGTAACTTGTTTTAGGAGGTCATGTGATGCAGTGCAGCGTGGCGTTTGTTAGATGAAAATGGGTTGAGCAGGAAAACGGCAGATGTTGAGATGGTTTTTAAAAGTGCTCAGAAGACTGGCTTTAGTTTCAGTCCAATACTTTGTATCATGTTTTGTTCTGACTTCAGTCCAAACCATGACCAAAGAAATTTGCCTTAAATGAATCGTCCTTATTTGCATAAATTTGGAATTAGAATGACCTCTAGGGGCAACACAAGGGGTTAATGAGACCAAACCTCTGCAGCAACTGAGAGAAGTTTATCTGCTAACAAGTAGACACTTCTTATTATGATTATCTGGTGGGAGGAGCTTAGGATGGACATGAGCGTCAAACCAGAGATTATCCAGATTTTATGTGCAAAAAACATATGCAAAAATAGCAGCTTCTGGTTCTGTTGTGGTCACTGTTTTAGATTTGATGTGGAAGCGTGTGGTGCAGCAGAAAGAGAAAGAAATTCATATTTCTACACAATTTATATAGCTGACATGTTCAGTTACTGTAGGACTTTAACTGAAGTTAAATTTCAAATGTTATTGGCATTAATTGATGTACAGCATGTGTTTGTGTGTGTGTGTGTGTTAAATGAGGGTCAGAGGTCAGTAGAGTCGAGGTAACACAGGATTTTTTATTTGTAAGGAATGTGGCTGAAACCTATTCCCCTGCAGGGGGTGCTATGATCAGAGAACACATGTCCTGGTCTGTGATTTAGGTGCAGTGGAACAACACTAGTGACTATTCCAAACCTTGTTTAAAGATATTTCTGCAAGAACAAATATGATTTTGACTTTTTGTGTTTGACGACCAGATGTTAGAAATGCACCTTTACTTTTTCATAGTCAAATGTAATGTTGTAACACCTGCCTCTTGCCAATACTAAATTTATTCAGTAATAGTGCTGCATTTTTTAGTTGCAACACTACTGCCATCTACTGGCCAACTCCCATCCCAACTACTTTAAACACAATGGTTAGCTCATAGTGCGTCATGGAGAAACTGAACAAAATGACCATTACAGTTTACTCTACCTTTAATGCAGGGTTTATCAATCATAATGAAACTAGAATGCTAATCTGAGAGTTAAGATGTTATTATTTAAGGAAGCAGGTGTTAAAAAAAATGACGTGAAAATTATTTCAGACCAGGATGTAACTGCAGAGGTGCATTTCTAACTACTTAAAACAATCATACACTTGTGGGCAATTAAGAATCGTGAAGATAATTTGTTTTGTTTGATTCTGATATATTTTAAAGGAGATTCTCTCATACTGTACCTGTAATGGAGATTATAATGGACACTTCAGGGGGTAAGGGGGAGTGTGGAAGTACAGATCAGGACTGATGTCTGGATGAAGGAACCAGGATACTGCCCTAAAACTGAATCCTCAGAAGTTTTCCTCACGTTGCTCGGTTGTTTGTTTTGGGTTTTGTTTTTGTTTTTTTTGTTTTTGTATTCACACCCAGACACTGGTAGAAAACGCAGCTCCAGTGGTTCAGTGACTTCAGCTGTCTGTCATCCTCACAGCTTCAGTGAGCAGAGGGACGGCAGCTGAGAGGTGCAACAAACCAGCGTAACTTAAGCCTCATGCTGACTGATCCCTATGGATCTGTTTAAACAAGTGGTTCCCAAACCTTTTCCTGCAGCGCCCCCTTCTGCAGGATTGTCGACACATTCAGAAACCCTGTCATTCCTACTATATACTTATATCATTACACAAAGGAAATATTGCCCTTTTGCTATTATATTTCCTCTTTCCTGCTGGGGGGACCCGCCCCTTACTTTGGGAACCACTGGTTTAACCACAACTGAAGAACAGGGGGGCATCTCCACCACTTATTACCACGACTTTCTCACTTGTTTTTTTTTTTTTTTTTCATCATCATCCTGTATTTTTTTAATTTATTTTTTGACATTTCACACATTAAGTCGTGACGTTTGTCCAGTGTTATGGCGTCAGATATTTTGTTCGTCCGTGTGTAGTTGCCTTTCCGCTGATCTGAGAAGTGATTCAGTGCGAACAGACATCGTGTTCTTTTAGCAATAAGGCAGGTTTATGTGGACAAAATGAATTTAAAAAAATGTTTTGTCCTTGTCTGATATTTACAGAGATATAGAAACTGTTGACAAAGGTAGATAAAAAAATTGAATATTTTTTATCTCAGGAAAGGATAACTTGGGGATAATTTGACATTTGATGTGTGCAGCTGTTTGATTTAAGGATGGAAGAGGTTGAAAAATGTAAGAAGTTGACGACTAGATCTTGAACTGACGACTGTAACCTGTGTGGTGCTGAGTGGGAGCAGTAGCCATATTGTCTGTGGACGCCAGGTGTTGGTCCTTCCTCACGTCTCCTGCTCCTCTTTCTCACTGTATGCTTTAATCTTCAGGTCTTTGTACGTCGTCACCGCTGCTGCTTGTAGACTCTGTAGCTCTGTTCATTTCTCTGTACATAAGATACTGGACTGTACTTTTCTATAACACTGGAAGAAAACAGATGTAAAGGGAACATGTGGATATATTTTTTTCCTTTTGTTTTTTGTTTTTGTTTTGATTTTGTTTTTTGAGGTTTGGTCTGGTCTGTCCTGCCTCCCTGTGTCCACTCACCCAGTGTCCCCTCACTCTGGGTTTGGTTTGTAAGTGTTTGCACAGCGAGACAAGTCATCATTTGATTATTTAAATGGATGTTAAGCTGTTGTGCCCAAAGGCATATAACATGTACAGATCAGTCTGTTTTTTCTTTGTTTTTGTTTTCTGCTTGGCTCATCTTTAAGTTTGATTTGCTGATTGTACAGAACTATTAGGGAGTTTAAAAAAATAAAAGTTATTAAAAGCATGTTTGAGGTGTTTTCCTGTCCTGTAGACTGTAGTAGTAATCTGGATGTCAGCAGTGATGCAGATATTTGTCCTGAGTTTATGTCCCGGTTCGGTCCTGGCTGTACAAAACTGATGATGTTGGAAAGTATGTGTTGTTTTACCAAGCAGTAATACTGAAGTTCCTCGCAGTTCATTGGCCGTAGCACAGTAGGGATAACACATCTGACAGCAGTGCATGTGGGTTCAAATCCCTGCCTTCTGAAACAATTGTGACACTTTGTAACATGTTTTGTATTCTTGTAAAACAAGTCCCATTAGTAACTCTAGCTGCTTAACAACAGGTAAGTGACTTTTACTTGTGTTACTAGCCGTACTAGTATTACTAAAAACTAAAAATGTTTTTGTTTCTTTTTTTCAACTTCAAGGTTCAAGGTTTCAGACCCCAGGAGATAAGGATTGTCCAGGATGTATCTTGACCCACCCACGCCCCCTGTCTGTTGGGATTGGTTCCAGCTCCAGATCACCAACACCATGAAGAATAATTGAGGTAAAACACACAAAAATTTGTGTTTGTCTACTTTTTTAGGTAAGCTAGTAAAATGAAACCCAGTGTGACATGGTCTGAGTTCAGATTTGATGCGGATAGACCTTGTGTGTTCTCAAATGATCAGAATCAGACCCAGTGACTGATAAACCTGACTGATGATAAGACGTAAAAGAGAAAACCGTGCAAGTTCTTATTTTAAAAAAAATTTAATGGTTAATATATGTACAAATATACAGTAACTTCTAAAGAAACTAAACCAGGTACAGCACGGTTTAGAAATGACTACAAAATTGTCTTTAATAGAAGAAATTAAAAAAATGACAATCACTACAAGGAGTCGAGGGAGACACGAATGTTCACCTGGTCTGATGAGCTGATCTAGACAGTTCATAAAAACAACACATGCTCAGCATCTCTATGACTGATGGCAGTGTGATGATGATGATGATGATGATGATGATGATATGAAACACATTCACACTCCGTGCTACTACTGACAGGCCCCGACTTTGCTCCGTATTGAATACATTCATTAATCAAGCACCGAACCACTGACCTCAGACATGCACCCAGAGCCAGATGTTTAGCAAAACAGTGCTCTGATTCTCATTACAAATAAATGACATTCATTACAGATAATTAATAAAATCATGAGTGGTAGATTAAATAAATCATTTCTCAAATATTTGGGGGTTTTTTTTAAAGAAAAAAAGAATGCGTTACTGAGTTACTTTTTAAAATTCAATCATAACGACACCAATGCTACAGAACACTAAACTGATAACTACATTCATTTACCGATTTTAAAGTCAAGAGTTCAAGTTTTTATTTATCGATTTAAGTGATTGATTTGAATTTATTTGAAAATAAAGAGAATTCTCTGATTTGACCTGGACTTTTCTGTGATTGATCTGATGATCACAGACATAAAATTGCACAGATGAAGTTTTATCGGCTCATCATTTGACCCTCCGTCCCAACAACCTTCTATTCACACAGGCTACGTCACTGGTTCTACGTCTCTAATCCTACGTCTCTAATCCATGCTACAGTCACATCCACAAATATCGATCAAAAGCACAGTGAAATGTAGAGGACTAAAAGCTTTTTTTTGTTTGTTTTTTTTCCTATACGTCATTTAGCCTCATCTCCAGCTTCATGTCACATCATCACCATAGCAACGCAGTCTCAATAACAGCTCAGGATGTGAACGATTTTTAAAGGTTCAACTGAAGGAAATCATCAAGTCAGAAGGAAACTCTGGGTTTGTTTTTGTTCTTCTTTCCTTCCTGTTTTATCTTGTAGGAACCATTAGCTCCCTGTAACTCCATCCTCAATAATCCTATGATTTTCTAAATGATATAATCTTAGTTTGGTGACATGCAGATGAATGAGTTACTAAACATACTCAACCAGTAGGAAACCAGAGAAGTTCTCTTTACTGAGTTGAAAGATCAGATGTGATTTTTTTTTTGTTCAAACGTACAAAAGTAAGTTAGTAATCCCTAGTCATTATTAGGTCACTAGAACTGTATGGCTTGGTTTAAGGACCGTTGTTATCTATTTTTTTGTATTTTGACAGGATGTTTCCGGCTGGACTGGTGAAAACAGACTGTAGATGGCAGTAAGGCAACACAAAAGATGCAGAGCTGCCACTGAATCCGTGTATAGAGTTGGGGAAGGCTCATTGGCGAAGACCCAGAACTGTAAGTTTGACATTTTTGACTAAAACCTTTGTAAACATTCAGCTACACAAACTTTAATTTCCATTTACAAATGTGAGTTTTGCTACTTCTTTTTGTCATAATCCTAGTGGTTAAAATCATTGGTCTTAGTTCAAATCCAAACCGTGGCACGACCAAAGCTCCACTGCTCCTGCGTGTGTGTGTATGGACGGGTGATATGCAAAGTTTTATGCATTAAAACTTTTAAACTAGCCCATGACCTTTATGGTACAAAGACTGGGCTTGTCATCAAAAGATCGCAGAACAACTAGAATCCCCTACGACTGGCTGTGGGGGGGTCGAACAAGCACCAAAACCCCCTCAATCCCCAGGATGGGTTAAATGCAGATTGACTGTACATTGAAGTTTAAAGGTCAGTTTGCAGCAACATTCTCAATAAGAGTCGGAATTGAGTGTGTCACATGTGTATTTTCTTAAAAATTAGGTAATTAACATTTGTTGTCAGCTTAAAGCTAAGATTCCAGCACTAAGGAAAGAGAAAAAAAATCTCGGGGTTTCTCTTACTGTAAAACAGGACAGTCAAAGATTTGTGGACAGGAAAGAGGAAACCATGCAGCTGAAGGCTGAGTGAACAGTGCGGTGTTTGGAATTTAACCTCTTTGTGTTCACTTCATCAAACTCCTTTAACGTATTTACCCCCATTTACAAGGACTCAAACTCATCATGGCGTATTGGTTGCAGCCACTAAGACCAACCAGCAGAGGTCAGTAGTGCAGAGACCGTCTCAGCACAGCATCTTAAACGGTCCTGAAACATTTAAGTGTGATGAATTCCTGGCATTGTATGAAGCACCGAACAGAACACAATTCAAGAGTCACTTTAACCAAACTGTGTTGACGTTTCAAATGCGCTGACGCTGGGAGTTGATGTTGAGCTGCCTCACAGTTTTGGAAACTAGATTTGAAAGGTTTAAAAAGATGATGACATCCTTTTAGTTTGTTGTTAGTGCGGCGTTTTGGCTGATGATGAAAAGACATGTGGTGTGGATGTAACCTGAGACTGTTTCTTATTCACTCTTCTTTTTCTTTGTGTGTGTGTCACCTCAGGCTGACTCTGCTCAAGCACCTATGACCAAACTCCAAACTGACTGGAGGTAATCACATCCAGACAGACTTTAACCGTGTACACACGATAATGACGTCACACTACAGTGGCAGACGCTTGACGGCCATCGTCCAACGCAAACACCGGGGTATTGATCCAGACCCCTGCTGTAGGCTGTCAGAGTGCGACAAACACTGATTTAATGATGATGACGTCAGAGCTCAGCTGAGCTGGTGCCACAATGAAAGAACTCCAATCAGTTTTAGTTCAATGTGGAAAAGAACTATTCATCTGCACTGATGATCTGTGGAGCGATAGTTCTCCACGTGTGACATCATGACCATAAATGAGTAGATACAACAAAAATGGTCTCAATATTCAGATTAAAAAAACCAAAACTGATTAAAGATGTACAATTAAAAAACAGAACAACAACATAGAGGTCTACGTAGGTACAAAGAGGAATGTGCACATGTGTATGAAAGGCCCAACCTGGGGGGCGGAGGCCGCTCAAAAACACACAGCCTGCTACTGTACATCGCTGCATATTGAGAAAAAAAAAAAAAAAACACTCAGAGATTGATCATTGATATATGCTAGTGTTCCTTTCTATTTAAAACAAATACTTGTGGTTACTGATGTTTTTTTATCTTTACATTTAAAATTATATATAAACAAAGTGTTATCATACAGAAAAGACAGAGTTAACCCGCTGCTGGGAAGGGTCCATTTCCTCGCCCTGGGAAAAAGAAAACTGGCTGCTTTTTGAGCCATCGGTTGGCTGGACTACAAACGTCTGGAGGGTCAGCAGGTTTAAGGAGAGTTTAAAAGTCGGCTCATCGTGAGGCTCACGCTGCCTTGTCCAACGTAACCCTGATAGGCACAGCATGAGAGGATCTGGGAGACAGGAAATACACAGCTGGTGTGAGGGATTTTCCCTGGACGAGTCAGAAATGCTGTTTCCTTTTGGAGCTTTACCTCTGTGCTCAGGGAGATTATTAAAACGTTAATCCCTGGGATTATCAAGTCAATGCCAACTGTCATCAGAGAAAATACTAATCAGCTACTTTGTGAGGGTTTTTTTTTTAGTTGTATTTTAGCCTTGACTGACTTGTATTAAAGGCGAACTGATTGTGTTAGTCTTAGGAACAGTTTTCCTCCCTTCTGTTGTGAGATGTGAGTTTCACTAAAACCGGTCCATTTATATGTCCCACAAGATGTTTTAATCACGATGGTGCGGTATTACTGGTCCGCAGTAATAGCTGGTCCTTGGTATAAAAAAAAGGTTGGGGACCACTGTTTAAACCAACAAACATAGCTCCTCAAGTTTACAAAATGAGATGCGTGCTGATTAGACTTTTTCCCTGCCAGATTTCTTCTGGCTTTTTTTAGTTCACTAATGCATTGATGAATGTTGTCAACATCATTTATCGTCACATAACCTCCTGTGTGATTTTTCCGTTTGTGTTCTGATCTTAGGGACACTGAGAAGCATCTTACCATGATATTGGCTCACTGTGTGGTTCATTCTCTTCCTGAGTGTTTGCTTTCCTCGGCTGACCATGTTCCTCTGGACAAGACAAAAATAAAACTTTAACAATTGCATCACTACTTAACACACAGATCATCAGGTCAAACAATAGTGAAGTACGGGGAAAATCATATTATTGTCCTAATGTGTGTGTGTGTGTGATGTGTTTCTCACCACAGGGGTTTGCCTCCACATCATCAAGGAGATTGGCTGTGGAGTTGGCTGTACCCAGTCTGGACAAGAACAAAGTTAAGTTCACGCTGATCTTATGGAGGTAGGAAAAAAAAAAAGAAATATAATGACGGAGTTATGAAGGTACCCTGCACACACAAGATCACAACGGAGCCACAAAGAACTTAAGTTCTTAACGTGTTGAAAGCAGAAATTGATATTTAAATATTTAAATGGGAGTGACACAGTAAAAATCAGTAGAAACAGTTTTGTGACTGTGAACCGGATAAAGGATACGAATGGTGCTTCAGCAGCATCCTCTTTTTTGACTTTCTCCTCTTGGTTTTTTCTGAGAATGTCCTGGCGATTTCAAACAGCTTTTTTCTTGTTGCTGCAGGAGTTGAGAAGTGATATTGAGTTGTTCAGTAGACAGAACAGTGACCTCTTACTTATGTTTTGTTTAGATTGTATACGACACTGGAGTAGTTTCAATTTTTACAACTGATGAGACCACTTTGGCTGCAGTACCACAGCTGACCAGCAAGTGATGAGGTAAACAATCTCTACTTAATCTCTAGTCACCTAACCCTAACCGCCCTCCCCGAACATGTAACTTCATTGTTATTTTCCATTTTTAATCAGCATTTTCATGGTTTATTAAGTGAATCTTCCATTTATTTTTAAACATTACAGTTTAATGTTTTAATGACACTCACATTTGCCCATGTGTTTGAGTTTGTCTCTAAACAGGGCGTCATCTGAGATGGCCTCCACTGAAGCAGGATACTGTTCTCCTGCACGCACACACACACATACACACATGGAAAAGACACAAGTTTACCACACTGTACATTCCAAATCATGTGTACTGACTACAGGGTCACAGGTGACGTATCACGGCAGATAGCAGTAGTGAGTTGATCTGAGAGCTGAGCAGAAGAAGCCTGATGAGTGATATCTACCTGTGGAATTCTCCATGCTAGATGAATGACTGGACTTTGATTTCTTTGATTCATACTTCAAGCGATCTAAAAACAGAGAGCAGATGTTATGACCACTGACGATGAACAGGATGTGATGAGCTCAGGTCTAATGCTAGGAGTTCTCCCAACGTCTAAGCCTCCACATCTATTCATCCAGAAGTGCTGACGAGGAAGAAACGGTTTTCTAGCTTTGTTGGTGTTAGTCAGTGTCAAAAATCACTGGGCTGTAAACCGTTTTTTCCACATATGTAATGTTCATGTTGACATTTGGTGACGTCAGAATATACTGACAACATTAACTGATTGATTGTCTCCTTCTCAGATATGAGACTTTTTTTTTGTAAAATGGAGTGTTTTTTTTTTTAGTTTACAAGCATAGAGAGCACTGCTCGTCTTCAATGAAAAGCTGTGACCCATAAACATTTCAGCAAACCTTCTAAAACAATGGGAGCCAGGGCTTTGACCAACACGTTCACTCCCGACTCTTCTCATACAGACAAATGGTCAGAAGTGTAAATATACATGTACTTTATATACGTCATGTTTCATGTTGAAAAACACCCTGACCAAGCTGTCTGTATGTGACAACTGGAGTGAGACGATGTCACATCATCAGCTGAGAAAAAAGACAAACACAGACTCATGGAATCAATTTTGTCCAAGTGAACCAAAGCAGGTTAATAACTAATAATGGGACATGGCAACAGCACAGAGCTATGAATAATTTCTAATCATATATAGACCTGGTTTGTTTTGAAATACAGAATGTAGCATGGTGTGTTTGTAAATTTCAACTGTATATCAAGAATTGTTTTGACATCTAGTTCCATCTGAAGAGTCTCAGGAAAACTGTTCAGACCAAATCTTTTGGTTTTTTTCCCCCCTCAGCTGTACTTTGGGCTTTCATAAGATAAGAGGAAGTCAGCCATGTTGGCTCCTTTCACTGCACTCTCACAGCCTGCTATAAATAATATGTCATTCTGGCAGAGTCAGTCTAGCAGAGCAGAGTCATATAAAATAGATTTGGTGAGTCACTGCTGTTATGAATGGGTTTTTTCGTCCAGGCTTTAGGCCAGTCATCAGGAGCATAAGAAATCTGAACAGACACTTGCTGGTCTGAGCTGCTGATCTGTTATTAGTTGTACAAACCTAATAGGAACCACATTATCTACACTGCATCATAATTAAAAAATCTCTCTTAAAGAGTGTCCTTAATGTTTAGCATTTAAACAGGGACACACTTAGATGGTAATAGCCTGGTGTTGCTGTTATTTCAGTCTCATCTTCTATTTGGGGTTTGATTACTTGCACAAAAGGAATTCCAAAAACACATGCGTTGGACTTTAGCACCAAGCATCAATTACAGCAATAACTGCACACAAATAAACAACAAGTTTCCTGAAAAGAAGGCACACAGTGGAGTTTCTTGTAAGTGTAAATATACAGACCTTGTATTTCAAGTAAGGTGGCCCAGAAAATTCTAGTCTATGAGTTTAAACCACCAAGCTAATATTATGGGGTTTTTTTTGTCTACCGCCAGATTTACGAGTCTGCCCTTTTTGTTTGTGCACTGCAGCACCATCACATGTAGAGCAGTGTGAAAACGCAAATTCCTGTGTGTGCTGCTGTCCATGCGCAGGAGACAAGTAAATCTAGAACACTGCAGCAGGACTAAAGGTCAAGAACTCCACCGGGAACCTTCGACACCAGCAAAACAGAACTCAACATCGACATGTAAATGAGAACTGTAGCCTCCCTAAAATGTAAATGCATTAGTGAGTGAAAACCGAGGTTTAATTATATACCATTCATCCACAGGCTGTGCAGCCACTGATAGTACAAGGAGACTTCCTGTGTGTGTGAGAGAGTTGAATGCACATGATACCTCTCTCTAAGGCGATGAGGAACTCGCGGTTCCGCTGCAGCTCCTTCATAAACTCTTCATTCTGAAGGAAAAGGGCAATGCGCTCATCCTCCAGGTACTGCTTCAGTTTTTTGTCTTGCTCCGTGCCCCCGCTTGTTGCAGCGCTTCCTCCTGAAGCGCCTGCAGCACCAGACCGTGAACCAGAATGGCCTGTCCACTGACTTATGGAAGAAACCGAGGAGGAGGATGAAGAAGGCTGGGAGAGACTGCTCTGTGAGCTCTACAGTTTAGGGGGAGACAGAAGACAGAATGGGTCAAGATTTATTTTTTTGTAACAAGAAAATATGACTATTTATTTTCAAGGTTGCATTTCTAAAATCTAAAAGAGAGAGAATTTTTTTAAAAATATGTCTTACCGTTGTACTACTTAACTGCTGAGGCAGAATGCGCAGAAAATCATCAGGGAGGTTTCCAAGCATTGGGGGATTCCAATTCCTGTAGCTTCTGACCTGCTGGTGACCTGGAGGTGGCTGAACTTCAAATCTATTCATGAGTAACAAAACAAATAAAGAACTTTACAGACTGTCAGCTCTGAAAAGCCCCTTTACAACAACAATGACCTGAAATTAAGAGATATAAATTTTAAAAAGTCTTTGCTAATATGAATATTTTTAATTTTTTGTTGAAATAGACGACCATGGAAAAGACCTCAACTGTTCAAAGACTCTCAAGGTAAGAATTATTTTCATAATCTTCATAAAAGGGTTTATTTGGTGTAGACAATGTGAGGTCAAAGGACTCTGAAGGACCGGGAGCCTGATGTTTCTTCAAGCACTTCACCCATGTCAAATGTACACTTATTCCAACAGTTACATTACAAATATGCCCAAATAATGCTTTTAACACTTTTACTTTAGTTGCAATTACATTCAATTCAGCCCTTTAGAAATTCCACTTTGACCGTGAACATTCATCTGAGCCCAGTGTTGATTAACAACACTAACCGTTAGATACCACAGCAGTGCCACATAATATTCAAAAGATCAGTAGGACTAATTTACAAAAAAAAAAAAATATTATGTGTTAATAGTTTACACGATTATTTCTTTTTACTTACCTGGGTGGTGGTGTTGGTGGGGCTTCTGGGTATTTTCTGTCATAAATGTGCATGTCATATGTTGGTGGAGAGTAGACTGGAGGTGGCTCCTCGTCAGAACTGTCAGGTTCTAGAGTTCGCTCTAAAATCTAAAAACAAACAGCAATATTATAAAACATTAATTTCTGAAGAACTTTGGTTATTGTGTTTGTATTTTATATTTAATTGTTTATTTGTGCAGCTATTTTCAGCAAACAATGGATTTTATTTAAACTTTTTAGACATTGTTCATCATCCATCATGCTCACTAATTCTTGCTTGGTATTTTGCAAACAGTTGTCATATATATTTGTAAAATCTCTCTTCCTGAGACTTTATAAAACACAGAATCGATCCCTAATGCTAATCAATAAAAAGAGAATTACATTGAGCTTCCATTGCCAATACTCTAGCTTATCAAGCTGCATTAGAGCCTTGAGTTTGTTTGGTACATTTGCAACCTTTAGACTGACCTCTGGCGGGATGCTGTCATCTGAATCTGAGCTGTCATCCGAGCCCTGTCCATCAATGCTCATCTGGAGGAGCTGGTCGATGGTTGCATCCACAGCTCCATTGTTGGAGCGCAGCACACACTCAATTACCTCGTAGTCCATCGAAGGAAACATAGTTTTGAAGTCCTCCATGGCCTGATTGAACTCCAGGCGCCGGACTTGCCGGTTAGGTCTACTGTTGTTGAGCTGCCCCTGTCCACTGCCACTTCCGCCCCCGCTTCCACTGTTTCTGGAGCCTCCATTGCTGTTGCTGCTGCGCCTGAACAGGCTGGTCATCCTCAGGGCAGTGCTACCTTCTGTGTTGCCAACCTAGTCAAAGGATGGCTCTACTTGTCTGTCACTTTCAGCTCCTTCAGTCTCACTTTCTTTCCGCTTTCTTGTCACAACTCAGTTTCTCATTCTTACACTTAAAAAAGTAGTCATCTGCTGGACCTCACAGAACCTGGAGTAAACCCACCAAGAGCTGCTTTTGTATTAATCAGTACTCTTTGGCATGACCGACCGTAGTATCAGGTTTCCACAGATCATAACAATCAGGTGAGATAAAAAGGCGCAGGTCCTGTCACGAGATGAAAAAAATCAGGTCAAAATTCTCCAGGGGACAGGCATAGCTGCAGTGAAGGCATCGCCATCTGCAGAAGGGAAAGATTATTCACAGTCAGAAATACAAACTAAATAAAAATAGTTTTTAATAGAGAGGCCTTATGTAAAATAATGTCATATTTGCACATTTTACAGTGAAATGAATTAGTTGAAAAAATTGTCAAAGGATCACCAGGCTTGTTGAAAGAATTTGTGTTTGAAACAAACATGGCTGCTCTCTGTTCCAACTGAGAAGAAAGCTGTTCTCCTAGTTTGTGTCAACTATAAAAAGTGCACATGGCACAACCTCATCGATGCCTGTGGGTCTGGCATTATAGTCCTAGTATGTGTAGAACTTCACATTATGTAGAGTCACCTGCAGTGACTTGGTGTTGTTTTGCTTTGATAACACATTGTTCAAGGGGGACACTCCTGTCTTTGTTTTCTGTAACGGAACTTAGTGCACGGACCACTTCACTTGTAAGGCAAAACGAACCTGGTTTTTACTTACCTGTGGGTGTGAACTCAAACAGTTGTAGTGTTTTAGTGTGTCTGTTTTCATTCTGCTATAGGGAAAAGAAAACACATCACCCTGCCTCCATATTCTATAGAGCTTGTGTTGAGCACCACGATGATGGAAAAAATAAGTTATTAACTAGGCCCCTGAGGTTGAAACCTGCCTCGGTCTAGAAAATTGGGCTGTTTTCTTATAGCAAAACGAATTGGAAAAGAAGTACAAACAATAATGAATATTATTACTATTATTATTATTAAGATCCTGTTACCATTAACATGTAAAAACACTTGCAGTATTAGTATAGTTTATAAGTATAAGTATAGTTTAGTATTTAAAGCCAGTAAAAATATTTGCAGATTACCTATTCACAGGTTTTGGTATCAAGATTTGGTACAAAGAATATGCTTGAAGGGTTTGTTCCAAGTAAGGATGAGTCATCGCTCACTGCTTTGTGTTTAACTATGCAAGTGAACTATCTGTTTTTTAAAAAAACATGTTTGCCATGTGACTAGATGCACATGTAATGTTGTGGGTGTGACTTTTTATTCACTGTATATTAATCTGCACCTAAGAAGCTAAACTATATTTAGCACAAAATCCAGGACTCAAAGAGTCCTTAGAGTCTGCCTGTGTTTCTGCGTGGGTGTATAGGTGACAGCTGCTGCTATTAAAATATACAGTGGACTTCTGCTTTAGAGTCACTGCTGGTACCTGGCTGACTGAAAGAAACCACTTGTGTCAGCTCTGGCCTGCACTTGTCTGCTTTAGTTATAACTTAAATGCTGCTTGTGCAAAAGCAAAATTGGAAATAGATTTGAATTCACAGCTTTTGAAATTCAACTCAACTGGTTACAGCACCTGTTGCCCAGTGCGGTGTGTGTTCTTCTGAGATTTTGTTCATCTCATGAGAGCACTGGAGCTGCACTGACTCACTGCCACCAACAGAACTCAGCAACCCATCACTCATTTACCTGGCTGACAGTCCGGCTGTTTCGTTGCTTGATGTCCAAGCACAGCATACCACACAATCAATGATAATAAAATGATATTCAAATATCTATTAACTATCTATTGAACTAGTACTGGAGTCATGCATGCCTGCGAGTTACAGCTAAAGTACTAGTACTTTAGAGACAGCATAGAGAAATTATCTGCATATGGGTCAGATTTGAAACAGAGTTCATAAGAAATAGCCACAAAATTAAAATCTCCACCTAACAAACAACAGTGAAGATCAGAAATCACCAACAAACCTGGCCGTAAAGCAGTATGTGCACAGAGGCCATCTGCTACGTGAAACAGGACACAGCGTCCTATGGGGCTTTCTTTGGCTCAAACTGTGTCAAAATGGGGTTTTTGTCAGGACTCTAATACTGAGGAAATACTGTATTATTGAACGTAATCACTGTTTTTACTACTATTGTCTGGAGGCTTGTGTTGTTGTGGAAGAATTAGTATATATCATCATGGCTTATGTTCCCCAAAAAAAGAGCTGTCTCACAGTTTCTACAGTGGCTGTGTCACAGTGGCCAGCAGCAGGGTGTATTTTAAGGTGAGGGTATTTTGGGAGGAACAACTGGTGATATGGGGCTGTGCCGTAACAAGGCTCTGAACTTCAGGTTGTATGGTAGTGTTTGTGTTCGTGTGTGAGTCAACCCGTTATTTTGTGGATTTACAGGTTTTTTTTGTTTATTTTTTCAATGTCAAATTCATGTGCATTCTGACCATCTATAGGTCCATTTGCACACATTTCCATAATTTAAGATCTCTTACTGCTGTTAACCATCTTTAACCTTGAAAAGCCAGATAGATTTCCTGAATTGACTAAAATTATTATTAAATGCAAGTTAAACACTTCTAATCTTAGACTCATTTTAATCATACATTTTCTTTTAATACAGCTTGTAATGATATTTGTGATGAGAGAATTTGTATTGGGCATTTTTAACAACAAAACCCTCAAAAAAGAAAAATAAATACAATAATTCTTCATGGTGCAAAAGATAAAATTACACAATTTCTTTTTCATATTTTGATAATCATGTACCATGTTTTGTAAACAGTGTCTTTTTAAAAAATAGCATATTCTTATATTTATTTATTATATATTAACACCATTAAATTAACTATAAGTCTATAAACGTATTTTAGAGCACATCCATTTTGGGGGGGGTATTCGGTAAATACTAGTAAATGCAAGTGATAGTGTACTAAAAAACAAGACATTCGTAAGTCATGTTGATCACTGTGGGTTGTTTTATGTTAATGCCTTGTTATTGTACTACAACATTTGGTAACATATTGATTACAGTATTTCTAAAATGCAACAGACTTAGACAAAGTTGCATTACTGTAAAATCCTTGAACGGTGTGGCATTACAGGCTGGGGCAAAACGTAAACATTTAGCTAATGCCAGAACATGTGTAACACTTGAACATTTTTAGGACGTTGTGGTAGTGATCTAAATACTTTCATGTTTTGACAGTCATCTAAAAAAAATTAAGAGCTCTATTAAGCACCTGTATGAGCCATTTATGTTCACCGAGACTCCTCTCTGCTTCCCACAGCAACACATAGCTGCTAACAACACGCTAACGGTGCGTCTCGGGCATTCAACGAGTCCCTTCTCCTGTTTTTGTTCAGATTTTCTATACTGCGCATTTAAAGTTTTTTTAGTTATTCCATAATTGGTGTTATTGGTTGTACTGCTTGCTATAGTGTCTAAATTAACAGTGGCTTTAAGTAAAACTATGGGTAGCGGCAGTTAGCAGCCGTAACTAATCACAACCAGATTCACACACACACACTCTCATACAAACACACACACAGGGCCTCGGTCACAGCTTACCATTAGCTCTGGACACGTATGTCACCCGTGTTCACAACGACAACACATATAATTTATTTTACCCGCTGCAGAGCAGCTAAGGACGACTGATAAAAAATAGCAGTTTTACTCGTCGACTGTGTTGCTATTCCTAAAAGTGAAGCGCAGAACTGGGCGACATGTTTTTATGTTTATGGTACCCAGCAGTTTAAATATAGAAAAGAGCTATGTTGCATTATCAAACATATTTTAAAGACTGAAATACAAATATTAACTGTGTTTACTCACTGACAGCAGCACAGAAACGACTATCAGTTGGTTCCAGTTTGGACGGGACGCACAGTCGAACAGCAGGACGGTGCTTTCTGTGATTGAAGCATCGTAACGGGAGCCAGAAGGATACGGTCTGTCCCTCCCTCACTTCCCTTATTCACCCACCCGCAGATATGCCATTAACTCATGTTGCCTTCACGTGAGGTAGGATTTACGGTTAAAAAAACACGGCAAACGTTTATTAGTTATTAGTTATTAGTTGCCGATTATGCAAATAAACATTCATATTTTATCATCTTGGATTTTCATCTGAAGAAGTGGGAGAGATGAGAAAAATAGTTTGGGGTCTACGAGGAAGGGTCTTTTATTCTAATTGTACATTTAGACATTTACATTACATTAGATTTTCGTTATATTTATTTTGCTTAGCGACGATTTGGGGGATCATTCGGATTTAATTGTATTATTTTATTATGGATTTGTATATCTTTGTAGTGTTTTCGTGATACAGTTTGCACATAAACATAGTACACCTCTTAGCTCTGGTTACACGAATGGATAGTAGCATCTTCTGAGATGCAGTGACCGGAAGCGCCATGTTCTCCACAATACATGGCACATTTGAACATGATACAGTATTATGAAGTTACGGCAATTGGAAACTATTAAAAATTGAAAATTGATCAGACATAATATTGTTTTGGTAGTCCTGATATATCAGTTATCATATAGTAGGTTTTTTTAATGAAGAGTGACATCATTGGAAGGTTTTAACACCCGTGTAAATGAAAAAACAAACACATTTTATATATTTGTATACATTTTGTATATTTCTGCTAAAATGTTTGACCTTAATCTCTCTTTTTTATGCACTACATTCATAAACCACACGAGGGAGCTCGTTGACTATTCCCTGCTTCAATGACATATCATGTCATATTATGCCTTATCGATTAACAAATACACGTTCCTACAACATTATTAAGGAGATGAGCTTTCACATAAAACAATTATCTATACAACTGAAAGATACGTTATGAAGTTTTAAAATAGAAATGACATCAACTGAAGATAAAGAAGGCCATATATGTGTTATACACGTGAGTGAGGATGAGGGAGTGCAATGAGAATGACCCGTGACCTAATTGGACTAATGCAGGCCAGTGGAAAAACATACAAAGAGCGGTCTGTATATTTAGAGCATTGTTTACTTAAGAGAAAACAGACTCTGTACTGAGTAAAAGCTGCACACTATTTTTCTCTGCAATATGAAAAGTAGTACACTAGCACATTTGTGACAACAGTGCGTGATATTTTTCAGCTCTTGTCTTTGGGACATCACATTAAGTTGTATATTATAGATATAATAATATATAATATATTGTAAAAAAAAATGCATCCGCTATTATGGCCATTGCTGTCTGTGGGAGACCAGTGACACAAAAACAGAAATACATCTGTAATATATATATATATAATTCATTGAAAAAATACATATTTTCCACCAGGTGATCTAATACAAAGCTTTAACAAATAGCTAAATTTTACCTTGACATGTTTAAAGTAGAGATGTTTACATGGTTTTCCTTGTCAGGCGCACTAGCAGATTTTAGATGAATACAAAAATAAATTACTAAACGATCACATGGGGAGGCGTGTCGTTGCCTCCATGACAACGCTGTGATGACGATCGTGATGACGTGTTGTTAAAATCCGCCTACTATATATTGTTGCTCTGTCCTTTCGAAACACACAAGATAACATTTTTTGTCTCAGAGAGTTTATTAAACGTACACAACAGCATACATTATTCATACTGGGTGTTTAGTGAAACCGACATCACATAAAAACAGAAACAGACAAGAAGTGAGAAGGAATAAGGGGGATTATTAAAGGTCTAACCACCATCCGGGACTGCAAGGTCGGCGGAGGAATTCTAAGGACTTGTAGGCACAGAAGTGAAGAGGCATCGTCACAGTCCCAATCCGCGTCGATTCAGTCAGCAATACATTTCTGTTCCTTGATAGACGCGGTCGGATTTTTTCTCCTTGGTCTGTTCATTTACTTAGATGGCAAGCTTTCCAGACTGTATAAACGAAAATGAAATAGGTAAGTAGAAATGTCTATTTAGAGCGTTGTATTTCGAATAAGGTGGGGGGTATTTCGGTATTTTTCAGAGCGGATACACAATGTATCTGCTCTAACGTGTTAGCGTTAGCCGCTAAATTCAATTGTAACCTGAAACCTTAAATTTGGAAGATAAAAACAGTGCGGGAAATTAGTTAAAACAACGGCTATGCGATAAGTTATAGTAAATAACAGTTATTCCCTGTGTAGCCTCACTGGGACTATAAAAGCTAGTCAAGCTAACTTCGAGATGCCGTTTTTTCTGCGTTGTTATGTTTGACCATTGCGTGGTACCACTGTTAGTTTATGGGTTGTGATGTGTTCAGAAAAGCAAAGCATCATAAATACCGATTTAAACTAAAGTATATGTTTTTTAAAGTCCATTACTCAAGTCAGTCAAGCCCCCCCCACATTATTCTCTCTTTTTACACACACACACACACACGGAAGCAGCTCCAGCAGCCCCGCCTCACGTACGTGCACGTTCACACGCTTAACATTGTGTTGTTGCAAGCCGTGTAACTGTATCTCTTCCGTTTTCCATTCAGCACTACCCGTTACTCATTTGCAATATGTTGACTGTATTCGATTCAGATCTGCAAAGTCGCAATATTTTGCAAACTTTCCGCGTGTAAACCGTTGTACACGATGCTGTAATTACACAGGCCGGTCTAGGTTGTTGCTATTTCGTAAAAACAAATTCCCCATCTCAATCTTTTCATATTCGACTGGAAGATGATTTTTCAAGATGGCAATTACTCAAAACAGACAGTTAGAAAACCATTTTGCAGTGTGTTTTAAATTCATAAATTACAAAACGTTGGTAACTGTATTGAAATCTCTCTGAATTTTATGTGGAACGGTTGTTGTTGTTTTCATCATAAGGTGCCTACTTCCCCACCCACTCTTCCATAGCTGTGATTGGTGCCTGCTTTACAGTGGAAAAAAAGGTTCAGCATGACTGGAATTCCTTAGGCTTTGCCTTGAATGAGTTTATGGGTTGTAAACTTATAAAACTTAATCCCCATCATGAGGCACTAAAGTAACACTGTTGTTGTTTTTCCAGATAAGGCTAAGTTCATTGGTGAACTCCTGGTGCCTGCTGCTCCCTTCGACCAGAAGTCTGGGCGCGAGGCGTGGACAGTAGCCTTCGCACCGAATGGTTCCTATATTGCTTGGTCTCAAGGACGCCGCATTGTTAGGCTCATTCCCTGGACAAAATGCCTAAAGAACTTGTAAGTATTGCATTAGATTTTCTGGTGAATTAGTCTGCCTGCAGCCATATTACACATGTTGTAATAGTTTTTATAGGTATAGTTTTTTGTAGCTTGCATTTGTAAATCCTTTGTTTTATGATTTAATGTGAGATCTTAGATCAAAAAAAGGGGGAGTGGCCACCAGGTACCATTCTTTGGTTGTCTTTGTCAAATGTAATTTCCTGTCTAGCTCACCTAATATTTAACTCCATAAGATGAAGCCTTGGGCCGTTCCACATTGCCAAACGTCTTGCAGTTAAAACACAAAGGAAAACCATAATTCTGGTTCTATAATCTATACTCTCTTGTCAGTAGGCTCAGACTCCATCTATTTTCTGGCATTCTTTTTTTAGGTTTTTTAATCAATGGTAGCTAATGGATTTCATTTTTTAAAATTTTTTTTATTGATTACATGTAAATAATATTAAAACTTGGTTTTTACAAGCCGAGATAGTGTTATTATCTAAAAGAAGAAAATGCTAGTGGTCGTGAACACAGTCTTTTTTTTATTTAAAAAGAGGCAAAACTAGCAATCTAGTCTCAACAACCAGTTGAAAAACAAGTGCCAACAGTGTAAATTTAACTCAGATAATTTAAATCATGAGGTTGATCTCTAACTTAAATAATCTGCATCGTCAGGTTTCCTCTACCAGATATTATTGAGGAAATGTAAGCTTGTCAGTTCTGTTTATGGTTTCGGTCTCGTGGTTTTCTTATGATTTCCTTCCCCCTCATTCTCTGTATGTTGTGGCAAGTCAATTGTATCTATATAGCCTAGATTCACAAATCACATTTGTCTCATTGGACTTCACAGTTATAGATGAGGGTTGAAATTAAACTAAAAATATCTATCTTAAACCCATTTAACAGGGGGAAAAGGTGGTTGAAATTCAACTTAAACCCATTTAACAGGGGGAAAAGGAAGAGAAGGTGTTACAGTTCATCTTTCTATTGTGTTTAAATTGAAAATACACACTAAAGCAGGATAAAGTTACACATTGAGTAGGCAACTTAATTTTGCGACAATTGTTTACCCATGTCAGAGAAATGCCTTGCACTCTATAATTTTATTGTGGAAAGTTTGATTGTGAAACACATTCAAAATTTGCAGCTGCACTCAGCCTCAAGCACAGTAAGCAGCCAAACACACTAAGATGCAGATGTATCAGCAAAATCATGTAGCAGATTATTAAAATAAATGTTCTCATAGTTTACATTTTTACACAACCCTCCAGTATTTGGTCTGTGTTTAGCTCACTCTGGGTCAAGTTGAAACACTCTTTACCTCTATTCCTGTTCATACAAATTCTGTCTCTGTGAGACGTAGGGAGCTAGTGTGATGCAACCTGATATTTTCCTAGGCCTCCCCACCGTCTCCTCCTGCGAGCTGTTATTGGTTGCAGGATTCACACCCACATTTGCTACCTAAAAACAACTCCATGTAGTTGGGCTTTTACATCAGTTTTACAGCAATTGTTCTTGTGTAGTTGATGTTGAGCATGTCACATGTCAAAACATTGACATGATTTAGGTTAGACAATGTAAAAAAAGTTGCTGCTGTGAACTAACTTCTTGGCTGTGAAGTTACTTGATCAGCTACAATGCTACTGATAAAAAGTACAATGCTGTTTATGCACGTAGAAGTTTCCAGTAGTTAATGTGGCCATAATCCTGCCCTTTGCAAGTTCCACGAACACGTGGCCTGATTTTATCTGCTCCCTTTCTGCTTAACAGACTCTCTTTTCCAGTCAATCAGACCTTGTGACTGCTATCAATATTATCTTGAGAAAAACAGCTTATTGTTCCTGAAATGAGTGAGCAGGTTAAATTCTCAGAAGAAACAAAAACTGCAGTATGGTTTTTTTTCCCTTATCATCTTTGTATTCATGTGTCTGACTATGTCAGAGTCTAATGACAGCACCGTGCTATTGTGGTTGTGCCTGGCTGCGTAGTCGACCTTAAATAATATTTTCTCTATGTCCTTTCTCTTTTTTTTTCTTTTTGAACCCTTGTGGCTGCAGTTCTGTGGGTCATTGCGGTGTGGGTACCAATGCCTCAAGCCCCCGTCGTCTGTCCCGTCAAAACAGCGACAGCGGCCAGGTGATCCCGGTCTCAGGAGAGCCATTGGAGCACACCATCGACTGTGGGGACCTTGTCTGGGGCATGGCTTTCGGTTCCTCCGTACCAGAGAAGCAGAGTCGCTGCGTTAACATCGAGTGGCACCGATTCAAGTTTGGCCAAGACCAGCTGCTACTGGCAACAGGCCTCAATAATGGCCGCATCAAAATCTGGGATGTTTACACTGGTGAGGCAGCATTGTTGATAATTAGGGAGCAGATGAATTATGGGGTTAGGATCAGAATAATGTTATTTGCACATTATCTTTCATTTCACCCTTTCTCTTAAAGGTGTTTTTTTTGGAATGACAATGATAACTAGAAATGTCATACTTTTGCTATGTTGAGGTTTAAGCACCACAGATGTTCTTAATAAATACTGTTTGGTGTAACCCCTTGCAGGTAAACTATTGCTGAACCTAATGGACCACACAGAAGCAGTTCGAGACTTGACCTTTGCCCCCGACGGCAGCCTTATGTTAGTCTCTGCATCCAGGGATAAGACCCTGCGAGTGTGGGACCTCAAAGATGATGGTATGTAGATTGTATTTGCTCTGTGGAGTTCTACATGTGGAGTTCTATATTTCAATAGAACTGATGCATAGAAATAATATTATGACCTACTTTTCATTCTTTGATAACACTGAATGTAACAAAGGCCATGTGACTAACCCACATATGCCTTCATGTCACTGCAGTACAGTTTCCATGCTAGTCTTTAAGCCCCAGAAGTGCAATTATGTTTTTGTCTTTAACTTAGCTCTAGGTAACTTGCTGGTCTTTCTTTCTGTTTTGTTAAATGTATCTGCTTCTAAACAACACTAGAAGTTGTCTAGTTGTCTTCTCTTTTGTGTTTTTAAGACACATTTAACTGAATTTTGCATCGTTGGTTATCAATCCTGTAGGCAACATGGTGAAGGTGTTACGGGGGCATCCAAGCTGGGTGTACTGCAGTGCTTTCACCCCTGACTCCTCTGTCTTGTGCTCTGTTGGTGCTGGAAAAGCGGTACGTACACGAGTTCCTCTTCTCTTGTTTCAATGGGTTTGTTAGCTAATCTGTGTGTATTTGCCTCTGAGAAGTTATGCTTGAGCAACCTACAGAGTAATACACTCCCCATCTGCACTGTCCTCCCATTTCCACCTTAGAACAAACTGCTTGGTGTGTTTATAAGTTGAGCTGCCTGCATCAAGATTATGTGTGGTTTTGTTTGTTATAAAAAAAGTTACTTTTTGGTATTTATCAATATACATGCAGAGCAGACCACTGTTGGAACTATTGTTATATCAAACATGTACTTTAAGTTAACCTGTGTCAATAGCCCTTAAGGTGAATAAATATTCCTGGCTGTTGTTTTAATAGGCTGACCAACATTTCTACATTGATCTGAACAGTGTAGTAATAGTAGACGTGGTGGTGGCATTATTAGGCTGTGTGTGTCCCTACAGTGTGTGTCTTGCTCTCCCTGTCACAGGTGGGGGCAAAGCTCAATGTGTGATTGGTTTTGAAAGGAGCGCCGCGCTGACATTTTGAGCAGCCGGTGTAAACCGGGGATGCACAGTGCGCAATGCCCAAAGGCCTGGCCAGGGTCAGCCTGGCACCTGACCAGCAAGGTCAATCTGTACGTAGGTGCTGCTCCGTGTCTGTCTCACTCTGCTGTCGCAGTTCCTTTTGTTTATTCAGTTGATTTCAGTATAAAGCTCTACACTTTAACTGATAGTTTAAAGACCCCTTCCAACATCACAACTCCTCCATCCCATCCTCACATAGAGCTGACTGGCTTACACACCAGAACTACCTTCATAACAAGGATACCTGTTACTGTCATTCACACTATCTCTTTGCTGAACATTTGAACATATCGGCAGCCAGCCATAACCAGTTTAATAACCAGCTAACTCGTCTCTCTGTAAGGCAACACTCGCATCTTTATTGTTTGCCTAAATGTGGGCTGGAGGTGTCAAACATGACAATTTTAGGTTATAGTTATTAGGGATACAGTTATGCTAAAAAAGTACATTTTCAGGTACTACCAATTACTTCTGTAGGACCAAATTTGTAGAAAACAAACATGGAAGTATGTGGAAACCTAATACTTCTGTTTTCATAAGAAATGCACAACAGCAACAGAGCTACAAAAGTTGGTTATATTTTATCCAAACCTCTCTTTTGATGCACATGTAGTTAAAAATTACAGCAAAAACATGAATATTTTAAATATTTAATTTGTTTTGCTAAGACTATATTAACTCCACTAAAATAATAACTAGACGTCTGAGTACAGTTGACTATAGAAGACTTGTGGCTTATCGTGCACTTTATACACACAGTTTACAAAAAGGCTCTGTTGCTTTAAGATATATTTATTACACAATATACACATTTTAACTCTTTAATGGTGTGTGTGTGTGTGTGTGGTATCACAAACAGTAGCTGTCTGATCATTGTTCATTGAAAAGAAAAGAATCAGCTCTATTAAAGCAAATAGAACCTAGATGACCTCTTGTCTGTATGTGAGTGTGTGTGTGGGTAGTTTTTTGTGTGTATGTGTCTGTATTCATATGTACTTTGCCAGAGGCTTCAACCCTTTGGCCATAAAATATTCTTTTCTCTTGCAGTATCTGTCTCTCTCCATAGGCTTCTGCTGGAGGTGCGAGCCTCTTGTAAACACACTGAACTAAAACTCTGAAAGGAGAAACCAGTGGAGTAAAATTATGTCACCTTAAGTTACTTGTTTTATTGCTTGTTTTATTTTCTCTTTTTCCAGACTATTTTTTAAAAATAGTACTATATGTAGTAACGTTAAAAGATGAATAGTAGTTTGTTAGTTTTGTACATATAATCATTAATTGTAATTGCTAGTGTATGTTTAAAAAAAGGTGCATTTTGACATAGCCTTGCTGCTTGTGTAGCATGTGCTCTTGTATGTTTGCCTTATTTTAAAGTTACAAAGCTTAACCATGACACTAAGCGTAACATGACAGTGTATTGAATTTTTCTTACTTATTTACAATTCTAACTGCTGTGTGTGCAGACAGTGAATGTGTCAGTACATGTCATGGTGTCACAACCAGAGCTATAACAGCCCCCTCTTTACATTGCAGGTGTTCCTGTGGAACATGGATGAGTACAAGTTGATCAGGAAGCTGGAGGGACACCACAATGATGTGGTGTCTTGTGAGTTTTCACCAGATGGGGCACTTTTAGCCACCGCCTCTTATGACACCAGGGTCATTGTCTGGGACCACCAAAAGGCCACAATCCTGCTGGAACTTGGGTAAGGACACACGCAGCTGGCTGCTCTGATATTCAGCTTTTTTTTTTCTACACATCATTTATTGTACATGACTCACTTTCTCAAGCCCTAACCACGGTTGAAATGTTTTTTTCTCCACTTTAAGATCCTGTTATTGATCTCTTCTCATTCTGATGTTTTGTTAGACATCTTTTTCCTCCTCCATCACCCATATTTGCTGGAGGCTCAAACGACCGCTGGGTCCGCAGTGTGAGCTTCTGCCCAGATGGACGCCACATTGCCAGCATTACAGATGACAAGTAAGATGCACCATGATTTCTCATGATTGTCAGTATGCCTTCTGTTTCCTTCGGTTTATTTAACCTATGTATTCTGTGCTTAATGTTCTTCACGTCAGATTCCCAGGAAGTTGCTCCAACTGAGACTTAAGTTTTCTTTGTGTAGAATTGTTTGATCGTTTTGTTCTATAGTTATAGTTGAACCACAATCTGTAAAAGAAACCTTATGGTCATGGTTAAATAAGACCCTTCTTCTAATATATCTCCTCTGATATTGAAAAGACAAGACTCAGCAGTGAAGTGTTACAGTTTGTCCTTTTTTAATGTCCTGCTGTGAGTCATGAGTCTTTTTAGGGACTTTAGAGAGTGTGTCAGCAATGTGTGAATGGGTCACATGTTTGTCACAGTATAGCTATTAATCACATTGGCTGACCAAACGCTGAACTGCTGCTGCAAATTCGTTGATACAAGAGTCTTTTTTAAGGTAATGCAGCAATAATTTGAGTGAATAACATTGGGGGGTTTTTTCTTCCCAAAAAGTTGACGTAATCATCACAGATGTTTTTTTTTTTTTTTTTTCAAAGACGGATACGAAAGACAGTCACAAACATCAAGCTTTAAAAAAACAATCTGACTTTCTGTAAACTGAACTGACACGCTTTCATTCTCTCCTCTTTTTAATGTTCTGAGTTGGTCTGCTCTGTGTCTGTTCTCAGGTTGGTCCGTTTCTGGAGCATTGAGGAGAGGGCCCCTCAGGCCATCGCTCCTCTCACAAATGGTCTCAGCTGTGCCTTCTCCCCAGATGGAAGTGTCCTTTCTGCAGGGTAAGAACACAAACATGTTAAGATACACCCTAACCTGAACACACGTTTAGTACTATGTTCTTTTGTATGAAGAAGGAGAAACAGGTATTTGTGTTTTATGGGTTGCTTATTTGCAAAGCCGTCATAGCTGGTTTAGTTGCGAGTGAATTTAAAATAATTTATAACAGTGTCATCTTGAGGCTTTTCTTTTTAATTGATAATGCTAATTTGTGTAAAATGATTGGCAAGTAAATAATCACCCAAAATGTAATGAACTGCAAAATTAAGCTTCAATTTTTTGCCAAAGGGGGAAAAAAATGCTGTCTCTAGTCTGGTCTGGTTTGTGTCAGATTTAACATAATGAAAAGCTTTATACAAGGTCAGAAGCTACAAGAGCAGCAGAAGTCATCTGAACATGTTATGAAACAGCTGCAGGGTTGTGTTTAGGGTGTGCAGAGAGTACAGTGTCATCTAACACCATGACACACTGTTCACTATGTACACATCCAGGTTACAAAAGAGCAGCGCACGTCTGTGGGAAGCTGTTTGACGACACACTTGACATACCTACCTTGAACCTAAACATGTCCAGAGAGTGACTGGAAAAAATAAAATAACTTCAGAGATGGAAAATAAAACTGTAAACATGTTTACATGAGCAAGTGCAGTGTTGAAACTGTAGAGTATCAATCACCCGCTCAATAGAAAAAAAATATAGAAAATAGAAAATTGTTGATATGTTTATTAAAAAACCTAATACAAGGATTTTAAAATAAAATGTACTTTTAAAGGAGAAAGGATCAATACATTTTGAAGAAGAAAAAAACCTTTAGTATCTCTTTACAAAATATCGAAACACCCTATTACAAATGTAATTCTATATTCTGTGTTCCAGGACTCGTGATGGTAGCCTGCACTTCTGGGAGTGTCCTCGTAGCATTGCCAGCCTGCAGCACCTTTGCAGGATGTCCTTTCGCCGGGTGACAACCACCCAGCAAGTAGAGGCACTGGCCATTCCTAAACCGCTGTGTGACTATCTAAAATACAAAATTGTCTAAACTTTTCCATACAGTAACTCCGCACCACCCTCAGCACTTAGCAGTTGGTTACACATGCTGCAGCAGCAATAACCTGAAAGAAAACAAGTTCACAACAAAACTGTGAGACATGGATGTGGTAAGTGAATGAAAGTATTCTGAAAACCCGGGAAATGTCCTCATCTCAAAACACCACCACACCATCTTCCTGCAGTTTATGGTCATATTTAAAAATAAAAAACATTTTCTAAATGATGTTAACACATGATAGCTAAGGTCATGGAACCGTCTGCACTTGTAATGTCCACTAAATCATAGTGGACCTTACATGGCTGTGAGTGTTGAGCTTCCCTTCTAACTGGTTGCCGTTTCTTCAATCACTGAGTATAATAAACACTGCTATACCCACATCTATTCTAAAACAGCAGTTGCACTTGAAGTGTGGAGTTCAGCACCGCTGTTTGCCTTCAGTTCAGGGTTAACTGTTGGCAGGAGGGTGAGCTTTGGTGAGAGAATAAGTGGACTTCAGGAGTTTGAAGACAACCACATATTCTTGGATGACTCATGCTGTAAATATTATGTACATCTAGTGTTTAAACCCTTGTCATACAGTATTTATAACATTACCATTGCAGATCTCCACTTCAGCTGTTACTCATTCCAGTTTTTAGTCTGAGTAAACATGGCACTTACATTTAAAAGGCACTAAAACCTATTTATATGGGAAGAGTCACTATCACAGCCAACAAATCTTCCAGTATTAATCAGTTATCAAAGTATAATCCAGTTTACCAGTAACATCAGCAGAAGGTTAACCAAATACCAAAGGTCCCTGAAATTCGATCGCCATCAGATGGTAACAATGAAAAGTCTTTTTTTTTTTTTTTGTTCTTTTGTTTTTTTAACACAAACATCATCTAAAGTTGTCTTTACCTTCTGATGAAGCTCACCGACAGTCCACCAAAAACATGGCAATAGTATGCTTGAAATTTTAGTTTTTCCTTGTTGGGTGGTAGTTAAAGTCAACTAACCGAGGTCTTTGGGTAATTTCATGCATGGTTGTATTTGTAAAAACAAACTTTATACAAATTTTATGTATGTATATATAAATATATGATATTGTCATGTCTATGTATCTGTCACCTTTTTACTTTATATTGTCATTTATATTCATTATATGTCAAATATTTGTTGTTTTTTTTTTTTTCCTCTTTTAAATGTGAAAATATCTGCATTGCTATGTCTCATTGTCCACCAGGGCTTCGTTACATTTGTGTGGGACACAGACTGGCAGCGTCGCTGTAGTGTATTCACATATTATTATAGATATTGGTATACACACACACACACACCAATCAGTCAGTCACATCTTGTGCTGGGTTAATGCCTTTAGATTCACTGAAATATATGCACACAATCACTTGCAGATACTTTTTGCTATTTGTGAGTTGCAGCATTATCATTTAGAAAAGTAGTTGGTTGTGTGTGTGTGTGTGTGTGAAGAAGGTAAAGTGTGTGCTAATCTTTGTCTTCTGTTTCTGTGGGAATGTGTACACAAAGCTGCTGTCAATCATTCTTTGCAATTGGTCCTGACAGCAACTGCTAAACCCAAAGGTTTTCATCTCTGAGGTTGTGTAAATACAAATGGGCAGGTATGTTTGCATTTCTTTTCTGAGATACAGAATTTCTTCTGAACAGGCTGAAGTGTTAGATCTGCAAAAACAATATGGGGTTATGTTGCTGAAACCATTGTTATGAGAAAAACAGTTCTGCCTCAGTGACATGCAGTATGACAGTGAATACTTTTGTATGAATGTATGTACTTACTGGATTTTTTATTTTGTTCTGGGTGTGTAGGTTCAATAAAGATTTTTTTTAATAAATGCAGCACATTTATTAAAAAATATCTTTATGAATTATATTCATAAAAATCAGTACTTATTTTAAAGCAATTTAGTGCAATTTTATTCATTTTTAGAAACATTTTATTTTTGAAACATTTTTCAAAAAAGTATTAGTATGGTGTTATGCTTGTGATCAAGAGTTAATGTTCCAAAAAAGTATTTTTCCCCCTCGGTTTTAATCATTGAAACATGTTTTCTAAAAACCTTTCAAAAATCGTTTTTGAAAAACAAAGATTTAGGATGTAGGAAAGATCCATTTTGGAATTTTCTTTTTTTTAATTCTCATCAAAATGTTTTGGCCAAAAAATTCCTACACTTTTTTTCTAAAAATTGTTCAAAAAAAGTAGTTTTCCCAAAATGTTTCTTCGAAAACAATCTTTTGTTTTTTCAAGAAAAATTAATTTTCTTCCAAAAAAATTTGATTTTTTAAAAAAGCTTTATTTTCATGAGAAACATGCAGAAAAGGTAAATTTTAGAAAAAAAAACATTTCATCAAAATGTTTTCACCTCTGACCAAAAATTAAAATTATTTTTTTCTAAAAACCCATCAAAATTTTTTTTTTCAATTTTGTTTTAAAAAATGCTTTATTTTGATGAAAAACATGCAATAATTTGAAACTAATTTAATCAATTTTCTAGCAGAAAAAATCTTGAAAAAATACTTCTTTAAAATTTTTTAGCATCTCTTTTGCCAAACAATTGCTACATTTTTTTTCTATTTTTATAAAATTTTCAAGAACAATTTGTTTTTTCTAAAAACTTCAAATTGTTATCTACAAAATTAAAAAAATTAAAGAAATGTCTAAATAAAATTTCTTTAGAGTTCTAAACACAATATTCACTTGGCAGCATGTTTTAGGACATAATCTTGCATTTCTTTCAGAAAATTTTTAGAAAAAAAATTTTTCTTAAAATTTTTTCAGAATTTTTTGAAACTAAAAAAAAATTTTTTTTCTTTTTTATGGATTTTTCTTTGTCTTGGTCTTTGGATTTCTTCTTGGTATTGGTCTTTGATCTTGGTCTTGGTCGTATACAATATTTTTGGAGTTTTTAGAAAAAAAAAAA